TGATATACTGATGGCAAATAAATAGACGAAGAGAGAAGAAGAAGCCAAGTCTAATCCTTCCATACTCCTTTCTCCACCATCACCTGTCTCTCGAGAGGAGAAATGGAGATATGGACATCAGTACAAGAAAGGAGGCTATACAAGTGAGACAGCACAAGAGATTGCCGAGAGGATTGTAAGTAAAATTATTATTCCTTGTCCCTTTAAATTTCTATAAAATTATATATATTATTAATTAATATTGTTATTTTTATATTATAGGATGCTCTTAAGGAGCAACAAGCCCAAGGAAGCTTCATTCCACAGGGCAAAAATGATATCTTAACAGTTGCTACAGGCAAGCTAGAGCATCTGAGTCATGTGAGGGATGTTGGATATGGTGTGGGCATTAAGGACTACTTTGGAGAACCTATCCGTCCCAATTCAGGAGGTGTAGTGACCAGAGAAGAGCTTGATACATTGATATCCACTATGAGGCAGCAGACTAAGGATGAGTTTGAAGCTTCATTTGCAGCTTGGCTTTTACAAATGAAAGAGAAAATGAAGGAGGAGATGATGAGCATGATGAGCTCACGACAGGAGACAACTGCTGAACCAGTTCATGCGTCTCCTGCATTTTATAGTACAAAAGGGAGTAATGTTCTTGAGCATATGTTAAAGGGTCCTTTTGGTGACAACATTGGTGAACCATGTGAAATATTTCTAAAAGATCCTAATAAATGCTTGGTTGCTCTTGGTAGCATCTACAACTTGGGGTTAACCATCCACCACAAGCAAATTCAAGATGATCAAGTAAGAGTGGTGGTTGCAGATCCAAAAGTGCCAGATGCTTTGGTTCCATTCCCTACTGATGAGGTGAAGACTATGGTTAAAGCTGTTGGCAATTTTATCCTATGGCCCAAGACCCTTGTGAATTTGGTTCAAGTTGTGGTACGAAATTTCATGAATTTTTATTATGCAGCAACTTCCTAATATATGTTTTTTATTAACTATTTCTTGCCTTTTTATTATGTTGAAGCTTTCCTCGTCGAATCTCCCAAAGCTTCCACAACCTTCATTGACTCCACATTAGTAAATGATCTTAATGGCGTATGATTTATCATTCAAATTCAAGAGTTTAGAAATGGATCCGAAGGTTGTGGGTAAGAAAGACATGATAGTGACAATTGAATAGGAAGATTTGGTTCGACTTCTATCAAATAATCAACTTACCACACCACACATTGAACTATTTATGATGTAAGTATATTTTTCTTTAATATAATTGCATTGTTATAAGTAAATTTAATCATCAAGTTTAGTAAGCTAATATAATTACATTGTTGTAGGTATCTTCATCATTTGTGCATTATATCAGGCAAAGGTGATAAGTTTGGATTCCTTTGCCCTCATCACATGACAGAGAAAGTTAATACTCCAAAGTTAAGGGCCGTGTACCTCCAACTGAGAATATGTGAAGTCAAAAAGGACGTTTTTATAGCTCCATATGTGCACTAATAAGGAACAATTTACAATTAATAGTTTTTTAATATGGATTTACTTTAACTTGTATCATATTTAGCAGGGACCATTGACAGTTATTTGTTCTTTCAATGAAGAGCAACACTGTCGTCTTTTTATGCTCCCTCTATTACAAACTTGGGAAAAAAATGAAGAAGACGATAGACTTGTAAGAATACTTTTACTAAACTATTTAATTTAATTTTTTTGAATATTTTTACTAACTTGGTAATCTTGATTATAGGGCAATGAGAAGATATCAAAATGTAGTCTTACAAAAGTATGGACATGAGCTCAAGGATCCCACATGGATTAAACCAAAGGTGATGCTATACTTTATTAATATGTTCAATTATTAAGATTTCTTACTAATTTTTTATGATTTATTCTCATACAGAGTTATAGACAACCAGTGAGGACGAACTTATGCTGTCTATATGTCATGAGACATGTTCAATATTATCACATTAGGCATAACTGAATTTACAAAAGAAGTAAATATATTTTTAAAAATTTTATTTTATTATGTTATTTGAGATTGATTAATATGCCTATTTTATGAATTAAATTTTAGATGTTCGACAATTCGGATGCATTTTTTGAAGCTGAAATTGTAGACATCCGCATACGTTGGGCAATCTATTTTGTGGAGAACTTGTGAAGTTTTTTATTACTTTTAGACATGTTTTAATTTTGATAGTTGACACAATTTAGACAATTATTAGTTTTTCTAATAGTTAAATAGTTTTGTATAGTTGATAAATACTTGATAAACAATTGTAAATAAATTGAGCTGTCTGATTTGGCAATTTTTATGCATAGGAATGGCAATTTTGACAATTTAGACAATTATTAGTTTTTTTAATAGTTAAATAGCTTTGTATAGTTGATAAATACTTGATAAACAATTGTAAATTAATTGGACTATCTGATTTGGCAATTTTTATGCTCAGGAATGGGTAAAATCGATAAAATAAATATAGTATAAAAAAATAAAATACTTTTTACACCAATTATTACCATAACTGTTGTAGAATATGATACTTTTTACACCGGTTATTACTATAACCGGTGTAAAAGTTAAAGTAATTTTTGTTATTTTTTTGTATATAATTTTCAACATCGGCTCTATAATCGATGTAAAAAATTTAATTTTTACATCAGGTTTATAATCGATGTAAAAAGAGGGACTTTCTACACCCCCTAGAACAACATCACCTCTTTAACCGCTATAAAAAGTCATTTTTAACTACTATAAAAAGTCATTTTTGTACTAGTGTATAGAAGTAGGATATTATTTTCATTTTCCTTTTTTCCAAGAAAGTTCTTACTAAACCTCCATGTTCCATTGATGCAAAGTTTGATTGAGAAAAGTGTTTGGCTTAAACCTTATATGCCCAGATTGACCATCCAAACACAATAGAGTTCCAAAGAGATTGAATGCTATTGTTTAGTATGGACAAGCTAAATTGTTGCCAAGAGGAAGATAAATTTGACGAAGAATACAAGTTAAACAGATAAAGAATAGAATTCCGAAATTCTTGGTTGAACAAGGAGGGATTAGCAATGATTCCCTCTATGTACGGCATATATGTAATTTAAGTCCATGTGTAATTTAAATCTCACTGTCAATTTGAATATTTTAGTGATGAATAATCTGTAAATATTTTTGTAAGTATTCTTTTGAGTATAAAGGCATGCCCTCATTTGGTGAGAGCTCCCCAACCAACTTTCTTAAAATTTATGAAATAAAAAAGGGAAGAAATAACAAATAATGGCGAGTTTTATAAAATGAGGGCAAGTTGGAAATTAAAGTAGTGTTCGGAAGGTCATTGAAGTTGATTATTCGTTTGCACATCCACTTATCCAAAGTTGACATTCTTTGCGGACACTCATGCTCATGCTCACGCATGTAAAGAAATGTGTCGAGGTCATTTTCGTCCACATGGCCTTGCATCTCATTCCCTTCTTCTTTATTTTTTTCCCCCGTCTTTTCCTAACAAATTTAATTATTATATATTATTTGATGCCATCCACTAATTTAAATTTAATATATCTGGAGGGTCAAAATCAATGGTGAAAAACTCTATTTCACCGAACCAAGATGATTACTTAATTTTCTTTTCCATATTCACAGTTCGATCTCCAACTTAATTAAGAACTTATTTTTAAGGATACCAATTACGTATTTTATCACTTATAAACCGATTACAGATTCAATGCGTCATAGTTGTTTGTTTTGAATCCAACATATATACATGAATTGTGATTCATATTCACCAACATATAAACATACACTTCATACTTGTGTGCTAGTGTGTATATATATATGGAAAATTATCACCTCGGCATTGTTTGTTTTTAGTCCATGTGGTTTATTTTCTTTCTCATTCCTTTTATTTGATCCATTATTTGCAACATTATATTAATTACTTCTTCTACTTTTAAAAAATATCCATAAGGACCATGAGTTATTAGCCCCAATGATGTCTATTTTGCTAACATTATAAATTAAGACAATTCACAATCTTGCTGGTTTACCAATAGATGTTAATTATAGTGAAAGAAATTATATAACTGCTTGTGCAAGGGTCTCAAGTTCAAGTCACATTAATGCAGAAAATACATAGTTTTAAAAGAGAATTACTTTGATTAGGCCTAACAATACTCAAATCTAATAGTTAAATTAAAAAAAATTATGCTGCCCATTTCTTCTACATGACCACATAATAAATTATAGGATAAAAGAGAAAACTGCTCTCTAAATTATAAGTTCATGAGCGTCTAGGATCTTAAACTCATTTGTGGTGTAATGTTTCCTTCAACTTTTAAAAATGGAGCAATCTCACCCTTGTTATTAATAAAAAGTTAACTTTAACTGTTAGTTGATTAAAAAAGCCTCACAAAATTACAAAAAAGGACCAATAAAATTTTCTTAATCCTATTATGTAATTTATTGTTGGGTCCTTGTCTATAATTTTTGCATCTTTAACTATAATTTGGTGGTTTTAAAAAAAATTGAGGCTCTTTTCTATTATTTTTTTATCAAATTAATGGTTAAAATTAACTTTTATTAATAATAAGAGTCTGTTGTATCATTTTTTAAAAGTTGAAAAGGAATATCATACCAAAAATGTGTTTTGTATCCCAGATGCTCCTAGACCAATAATTTAAAGGACAATTTACTCTTTTACACTAAATGTGTATATATACACATATATAATTTGGGTGTAAATTCTTATAGTCTGGATTAACCATAGGCATTGTTTGGCATATCTGAAATCTTTCTATCTCTGGAGCATGCAGTAGATTCGTAATGCTAGTTGAGTTAGCAACTAACACATCAACCCCATCTTCATCTTCTTGAGAAGAATCAAACCCAAAAAGAACCTTTCTTTTTCATTTTATTAAATTCAAATATTTCTCACATCCTCCTTTTCCATCAATCATCCCCCATATAAATACACAATCCCTCCTCTTCATCCTCCATGTCATCACAACCCAAAACCCAACAGCCACACATCATATATATATATATATCCTTCACTGCTACAACTAGCTCTGCGAATAATAGATCTTCCTCTTGGTGTTTGGGACTTCTTTGATTGATGATGGACCGGGTGGCAAAGTTGGTGTCGCAGAAGGCGGTGGTGATATTCAGCAAGAGCTCGTGCGGGATGTGCCATGCGATCAAGAGGTTGTTCTACGAGCAAGGGGTTGGACCGGCGGTTTACGAGCTGGACGAGGATTCGAGGGGAAAGGAGATGGAGTGGGCTCTCATGAGGCTCGGCTGCAACCCGGCCGTGCCGGCGGTGTTTGTTGGCGGCCGGTTTGTAGGTTCCGCCAACACTGTTATGACCCTTCACCTCAATGGCTCCCTCAAGAGAATGCTCAAAGATGCTGGAGCTATCTGGCTTTAATGATCTTCAGTACTACTCCCAAACACTGCCCCATTAATTACGTCAGAAACCCTAAGAAAAAAAAAACCTGTCTGTCTTCTTCATTAACCTCGATCTGTTTTTAATTTGTTCTTTTACACTACGTGCTACTTGCGGCTTCTGGAGATTGGAATATTCCTCGCATTATAATTCTACTATAATTTGATGATAGATAATCGTCAATCTCTGATATATATATGTATATATATATCTCCCTATAAAGCACTCTTATGTTACATCGTGTTGACCATGAGTTCTAATTAATCTCTTCACAAATTCAAATTTCTTGGTATAATATCGGATCAAACTTAAATGCTTGATTCATATAATTAAGCGGATAGATGCTTGCGGAGATGCTGGCTAGCTATAATTAAGAGTTTTGTTTAATTTTGTTCCCATTTTTTATTTTTAAAAACTACTTTACAAATCAAACTTTTTAAAATTTATTTTTTAAAAAAATAAACCATAAAAAATCTAGTTGATTATATTGTGTTAATTTTTTTCAAAAAAAATTAAAGATATGAAACAAAATCAATCCATAATGGTGATGGTTTATAATAATAGTCAACCATGATTAATGACAGATGCTAGTGAAGGTGGCCTGACTATGGCAATTGGCATTTCATATACAAAAGTGATGCTTGGTAATGGTTATTGGTGATAGTTAATAATAACTAATAATAATATATAATAGTCAATGGTCATTAGTTGGCAACAGCCAATAGTAATGGATAGTTGGTGATGACTGATGGTAGAGTTAAATGACAATGGTCAATGATAATAGCTAATAGTAAGGGTCAATGGCAACAATCAGTAAATATTGGCGATGGCCACACACATGGTGATAGTAATTTCAAATTCTCCCTCCATCACTATATATAAAATATTTTTAATTAAATCTCGCATATTAATAAAAGATTGTTATATAGTTGAAATCACATTAAATCACAATATTCTTTTAATTTTGCACCTAATAGTGTTAATTAATATCATGGCGGTAATGGATATAAGCACACAATTAATATATCTTTTTTTTTCAAAATAAGGACAAAAATGTCTAATTACTCAAAAATATCATGACATTTTATATATTTAGGAAAAAATTAAACTTATAGAAAATACATTGTATATAAGGATGAAAGGAGTAACTAAATATGGGGTGTGTGTGTTTAAAAAAATAAACAACTCAAACATGATTTTACTATTTTCTGATTTTTTTAAATAAAAATATTAAGTAGTTTTTTATTAAAAAATTGGAAATAATTTTTAAATATTGAAATTAAAAATTAAACATGCCCAGGATTTTTCGCTTAATTTTGATCCAATTCAAAATTCTCAAACACTATAATTTCATAATATTAAATCTTTTTTTTGCCAAAAGAAATACATAATATTAAATCCTTTGTGCACTTTTTATAATGGACAAATTAAAGAGAGAAGTGCTGAGGATGAGAATTACTATTATTGTGCCCTAGCTGTTATGTTCTAAATTTATTCTGGTTTTGAGAAAAATAATAATTATTATAGTGTTAATTAATAAAAAAATGGGAAGATATATATAACAAAGAGAAAGGTGGGAGATGATGATTCTAGATATACAGTGATGATTATTGACAGATACGAGGTGAATGAAATCAATTTAAAATTTAATGAAATGTTTGCATGGGCGGCAGTGCAGAAGAATAATAGATATAATATTGAGAGAATGATAATATCAAAAGAAAAAATTAATGATAATTAAATTCTTATATATTTTTAAAAAAACAGTTATAAATATGAGTCAAACAATTATAAATTTAAAAATTTTAATTATAAATATAATATTTAAATTTTAAATATAACATATTGCCTCCTCGCTGTTATATTCTAAATTTATTCAGATTTTGAGAAAAATAATGATAAATGACAAGATATATTTTTATACTCCCTCCACTTAAAAATATAAGGTATTTTTTGAGAAGTTACATGTTAAAAAATATAAGACATTTTTAATCTTTTGAAATGTAATTATTGTCTTTTTTTAAAAGTATTCATATTAATGAATGACTTTATATTTATTGTAAGATTTTTAATAAAAATAAATATAAAAAGATATAATTAATTTAAAAATATATAATTATTTTATTAAAAAGTGAGATTTAATTATAAATATTTTATATTTTTATATAAGAAGAGAATAATAAAGAGAAGGGTGAGTGATGATGAATTTAGATACACAGTGATGATTATTGACAGATACGGGGTGAATGAAATTAATTTAAAATTTAATGAAATGTTTACATGGGTGGCGGAAGAATAAAAGATATGACAATGGAGAATGATGGTGAAGTACCAAAATAAAAAATTAATGATAATTAAATTTTTAATGTTTTTTAAAAATATTAGTTATAAATATTGATTCTTACAGTTATAAATTTAAAAGTATTAATTATAAATATAATATTTAAATTTTAAATATAATAATTAATTTATAATTATTTAAATTAATATTTATAATTTATTTTATAAAAAATTTATTAAAAACTTAATTATTATTAATTTATTTTTTAAAAAATTTTATTATCATTCTCCTGTAATATATAAATAAAGTGAGAGTCACAATCAAGTGAAAAGATGGATAAATATTCGTTGGTGCATAACAATGTAGAAAGTGGATAATATATTTCAAATCCACCCAATATAAATATTCGCTTTGGAGAATTGTTTGTGTTATCCCATCACCGTCACCACCGTCATGCTGCTGTGGGCCCCCTCTCTGCTCTTTTCATACATTGCATCATAACGTCAACTTGTTTGACTATGTTATTGAGAATCCACATATAATTAAAAATGTCACGGCTTTTTTAGTCAAGGTTTTGACCGGTTAATCCCATTGTTGACCGGTTTAACTGGTCATGGACCGGTTCCATTGTAACCCGGTTTTTTGGGTTATCTTGGACTGATCAAGTGCTGATTTTTGGTCTAACCAGTTGAGCCCGTCAATCTGATCTGATTTTTTAAATATTATTTTTAACATACAAATAACAATAATAGTAGTTGTATTGATTTTTCAAAAAAAAAAAGTTGATGAAATTTTTAAAACATGTGTAATTTAGTTTGTAGATTAGTCAAATTTTTTGGGTTTTCTTAAATTTGTATAGTTAATAGTTAAGTTGTCAGCCTAATTAATTCTTCAATCCAAACTGCATTATTAATATTTCACGTTAATATCATCCATCTAATTTAGGAAGCGACATTATGACTATGTGAATAAGTAATAACTTTGCTTTTAGTAGTTTATGTATATAAATGTATAATACTAAAAATATTTAATGATAATTATTGGCAAGAAGCTAGAGATTTTCTAGAGTTTTAGTAATAGTTTTGTTAATTTTTTTAAAAATTTATTTAATGTGTGTGTGTGTGTATGACATTTAATTTGTGATTGTTACTCACATACATTTGTCAACATGAATTGCTTGCTGTCTATTTTCAAGCATATTTCTAACATATATAAGCACAGACATACACCTTCAATGAAAATTATCAATACACTGAAAAACGTTTAGTTTATCTAGTTGAGATGGGGAGTGAAATCAATGTATCTTGATGTTTCAAGTTCGAGTTTGAAAGATTCCAATAAAAATGCTAAACGCATCTCATGGTATTAGGTATTGGATTTTTCAAGATTCTATTGCATTTAATTAAGGTTTATTGTCCCAAAAAAAATTACAAAGCTATCTTTTTTGATGAATGACAACGTAGAAATTCCATTAGTGATAGATATTACTATTTTAGTCATCAATCATATTCACAAATTATTTAAAAATTCAGAGAATATTCTTTGTTATAAACATTGGGATTTAAAAAATTCACGTGTTTTACATTCGCATGTTATATAATTAAAATTAAGGTTATGGTTAAAGTGAAAAAACTGGATGTTCTCACTTTCAAAACATACTTAATAGTTAATATATTCATGTAATTAATTAAACATATTTTCCTACAAAATTATATGTATAGATGTATAATGGCCTTGGCGTTTGAATATTAAGGGTGTATTATCTTAAATAAGCTACCCAAGAGAGGTAAATTGAGTGTTCTCAAATTTTTCAAAACATTTTCCCAATAGAACAGTAATTAAGTTTTTATCAAGACAAAGTTAAATGAAAAGCTTTTAAATCATATGAAGTTTAGGAAAGTGTTCGTGGTTGAACAACAAATACCAGGCGTACCAGAGACACTGGGTTTCAAATAGATAATGAAAGGATTTTGAGTTCTCTTACCATAGTTCGTTCAGATGTAAAAAGATAGTAGGCTTTAGTAGAACAAGTGTATAATTTTATTGAAGTGTTTGAAAATTACAGACTACAAACTAAAAACGGAAAAGGGCTAGTAAATGTAAATTAGGTGAGTCTTGATCGAGTGTTAACTGTCCTCTCTGTTTTTTCTTCTTCTTATTTATAGTATCTGATAGCAGAAGACTTTTCTTTGGAACTTAGCACGTTCTATCGAAGATTCAAGAATCCCACAAAACTTATGGCATGGTTTCTTCATTTTGATCAACAACCCGTTTTATCGAACAACTTGGGCATAGATTTCAGCATTACTTAGGATCGTGTCTTCATACCAACATTCTAATATTTGAAGCTGACGAGATTTCAACATGTTTTGTGTTGTGGATTTCGTTGAGCTTCGGAGCCGGCTTCTTTTGTTTATATTAGGCCTGACATTTCAATTACTCAACCCAACTAGCCTCGTGACCTATTTGAGTAACATTTCATATTTAGCCCAAACAGAAAGCAAAAATTTTGACATAAGAATTTATACTAGTTTAGACTAACCACTTAATCTATGTTTAGTTATCAAGATCACACTTGAAAATTTTTACTAAAATCACAAGTTTAATAGTACTTGCAACTATAGTACAATTACCAAGATTTGCAAGTCTTGAACTCACTCAAAAAATTCTCTTACAAAACCTTTGTAAGTAACAAAAACTTAAGGAAAATCTTTCCTTAGGATTTTAGAATATAGAGTAAGTAATCAAAGCTCCAAACTCTTATAAGAATATATGGAAATACAATGAAAACTTATAAACTAACAATATAGAAGACTTTTTTTTAAAACACTACTTAATGCATGTAAGTAAAATAACGAATGCAATCACTTAAATGAGGTTATATTTATAGTATGAGGATGATTATAACTACTAGAGATGTCAAATAATCATTTGAAGTTGTTGCATTGCGTGTAT